CTTCTTCCTTTGCTGTTATCTTTTGTTTTTCTATTTTAATATTTTTTGCTTTTTCTGCAACATCTTTTGCATGCGTTAGGCCATAGACCTGAGTAACACAAGTAGATATTTTTTTAAGGTTTGTTTTGATTTTCTTAATAGTTAGCAGATCATAAATATTTTCTATTTAGAGGCTTTTCTAAGCCATTTCTCTAATCAAGATTTGAGACCGGTCAAACTTATCTTTCCAGTAACTTGCCGAACCTTTCCTTTTACAAACTGGTTATGAAAAGGTTTTTTGAAAGAAGTTGACGCTGGTTCTTCTTTATGAATGCATGCAGCAACTCACTCAAATTTATCTTGTTGCATAAAGTTAACATTTAATTCAAAAGGTGTTATTCCAACTCTTTTTGCACTAGAAACAAGAACCGGTTTTGATGCCCATTTCTCCCATATATTGTCTAAGATGGTCATAAATCCCTCTCTATTAATTGATTGCATTGGGTGAAAAGATAATTCTTAACTATTCTGTACTCACGATAAAGATTTTTATTAACCTGGTTAAGCAACTGAGTTATGCCAGTAGTTTCAGGAAGAGAAATAAATAATCAAATTTGTTTTGAAAGGAGGTGTATTTAGAACAAATAATAAAACAGATAATAAAACAACATTACCTTCTCAGTATACTGAGAAGGCAATAGAACCTTACTGGTAAGGTAATCATCAATTTCTTGGCACTGCTTTTTCTAATTGTAAATTCTTTGCATCTGTGAACATTCTCCCAATTAATGCCTCAGGCTTACTTTTTTCATGAATAGATTATAATTTTTCCTGTCTGAGCTGAATTTTAGGCTTCATTTTCTATGTTATTTTTTTCTAACTCTATTTGATTAAAAAAAAATATTGTTAAACATTTTAGAGTACATTATTCGCTTACAGAACATATCTAAATACTAAAAAACTACTTTCAAGTAAAAATTTAGATTTTGCTCTAGGTTCAAACACAAATTAAGTTTTAAAAAATTCTTGCAATTATTATGTTATAAAAATGTTATTGATTTTTGATACGTAAAAAACACAAAGCAAACTTTGTTTCAAACACTGCAATGACATCTTTAGAATCAAGAGGTTACATAGAATCAAAATAGTAAAAAGCGAGAACACATGTATAGCCTATAAAGTGTTATTTTAAAAACATCAATGTTGTTTTTGGGGTACATATCTTGTGGTTTTTGTGGTGCACCGAGTATTTTCTCAAAGATTAAGTTAGCAGTAACTGGTTTTATTTAAAGCAGATCAAATAATATTAGGACCCTAAATTTCAGCTTCATAGGTTCACTAGCTGCAAAGATACAATCGATAAATTGAATGCAGTTTTTTGGTGTACACATACAAAAAACTACAAAAGTTCAGTTAACAATAAAAAAAAAAACTATTTCTTAAAAATTAATCAAATTAGCTGGGAAGAACTGATTTTAAACAACTCTAAACACTTTCAAAATAATTTTTCTCAAAAGCATATAATAAAAAAGTTATTGAGATGTGCTTTTTTTGGTGTTTCTGCGGTACGTGCCATATTTATATAATAATTCTGCGGTACGTGCCATATTTATATAATAAAATTTAAAAGCAAATTTTAATTATTGGATTCAAGTTTTTTTTTTTTTTTGTGGATGTAGTAGGGGTTATTTATTAATATTTCTGCCCTGTGTTCCAATTGCTAAGTTTCCATCAAAATATATTTATTTAAATTAATGTTAATGGCTTAATTATAAATTATTGTTGCAATTTTCTTCATATTAAAAATATAAAAGAGTGCAAAATATTTTCTTCATGATACAAACAACATTTATATTTTATTTTTACAATCTAAATATATTCTTTTTTAATCTAAATATATTCTTATTACAATTGTATCCAGCAACCATAGCAACCTTAGCTCTTAACTTTTCACTGTGATATTTTTATTGGACACAAAAATCTGTTCTGTGTCTTTTTTTAAGATTTTTATGCACTTCTACAGATGTTTTTTATTTTATTTTTATTTTAATTCAACTCCTCAAGGCCGAGAAGGCCACTACAAACGAGAAGGCTACTTATTTGTGGTTATAAATAAGTAGCCTCTTTTATCTATAACTTCGAAACGCGAACCTTGATGAACAAGGCCGCTGCGCAGAGAAACTAGTTGAGCGCTGTACTACTAGGGACGTGTTGGCGATCAAACTCGGAACCACTTGTTTATGAAGCGAGCGCTCTACCACTACACCACTACCGTATTTGTACTGATGTAACAGCAAGTAAGATCTTCTGCCTATCAAGATCCTTGATATAAAACCGGATTATTTGAAACTTTCATCCAAGTGAAATCTTCTATTTCAAGTGAATTCTTTTTTACGAATACATCATGTACATCTATTTTTAAGTGACCCATGGACAGAGCAAACTAATTTATTTCCTCTGTGTAGGATTTATCAAGTTTCATCTCAAAACAGCATTCAGCAACTAAATCAAACAAAAGTTAACAAAGTAATAACTTGCTAAAATAGTAGTGTTAACATATTTTTGTCTCTGAATCAAATGTAGACTGGTAGTCTGGTCAATTAAAAAAAAGTATTTTTTTTTCAAGAATTATGTCCAAAGATCTTAAACCTTTGGCCTGTTAGGTCTGTCAAAACCACCACCATTAAAGCCATGTCTGTTAACAGTTTTCTTTTATTTTCGTAAAACTTGTTCATATTTTTATTGTGAAAGAAAGGAGATCAATAATTTTACATGATGTTCATAAATATGGTATTCAAATAGTAAATTTATGTTGATAATTTCTGCAGTTGGTTTTATATGTAGCAGGCATTGTAATTGTTTGATTGTAACATTTTCACAACATTTGATTAGTAAAATTTCAATAATATTGAATCTGTATAGGAGGTTTATTATCAAGCCTTTGAATTAAACTGCTAGTGATCTAAAGGTCATTTAATCTCCTCCTTATCCTTTGGTCCATCACTATAGCAACACAAGTATTTTCTATCGTACCTTTTTATTTTAGAAAATTTTTCAGAAAATCAGAAAATTCATCAAAATAAGATTAAGGAACAGACAATTGATGCATTTTATTGAGACTAATTTTTCTAAATTTTATTCTCATTATGTCATTAGTTTACAACTTAACAAATAAGTTTAGGACTCCCTTCATTTTTGAATGTTTTATATTTTTAGAAAAAAGATCAAAACAAAAAGGTTTTTATATTTGTTTTTAATAATTTTATGAAAACCTGCTGAAAAGTGTGGTTAAAAAAAGTAGTCTGGTGTAAAATTAAAAAGAGGAGTATAGGGTATATTATTGGGTAAGTATTATTTTATTAGTTTGAAAAGTATTGGTTTTATTGATACACTTTATTTTTTCAGTTTAATAAAATAATACTAGATTATAAAAAAATTTCTCACTAAAAAATATTTTTAGAGGTAGCACCAGACCCTTCAACATCAGACATTTGTAAATTAAATAAATCACAGCAAGTTATGTGAAATATGGAGTAATACTTTAAGTGAATGTATTCACGATGTAGGCAAACAGTTGTATATGTATTTATTTTAATCTCAGAACGACTAGTTGTATATAATTTAGGCTTCAACATTATTTATGTTTTAAACTTCTTTGTTATTTAATACTTTTAAATTTTTCTTATCATTTATATTGTTATTATTCAGTTCTGAAAAAAACAGAATAACTTAAAAATTATAATTATTAAAAAATTTGTTGCTATACTTTAGCTTCTTCTCCTTCAGACTCTCTCCTTCTGCTATCTAAGTATTTAAAGTAAGACTTTAAGCTGCCGAGAAGTTATAGTGAATAATAACTATTTTTATAGCAACAGAAGAAAGAATGATTTTACTTATTGCAGTTACTAATGAGGAATGATGAGGATCTCGAACAGTAACCTGTTTATTTTAAATAACAGGAAGAGTGTGATCAATAAATTTTGAAAATAAGGTTTTGCATTACAAACAAAGGATTCAGAGTTCTAACCATTAGGGTTATATATTTTCTATTTTTCACTATTTTCATTATATGTCACTTATTAGACTATGATCCAATAGCGTGTAAAAACAAACAAACTCTTTATTCATTTTCCTGACTCAAGTAGTAAATCTTAATAAAGTCGAACTTTGCTGCTGTTGTCATTAATGCATAGTTTATTAGTTGCTGCAGAAACTAGAAATGAGAGCACATCAAAAACAGCTTTAGACAAATCGAATGGTATTTTGTTTTCATAAACATAGAACATTAGTATCCTTTAGCTTTTTTTTTTGTTCCTTTTTTTGAGAAAGCTTACAACTTCATGAGGCTTCTCAATTGCCCCAACCTTTAGGTATGCAACTTTTTTTTATCTCTGCAGGCTTTATAAAGAGAATCATCTTCATATGAAACTTTCTTCAAAACATCTCAATGTTTTTAACTTTAATTTTAATTACTATTATTAAAATTCAAGTTAATAAAAATAATTTTACTTACTTTTTATGTTAAGAAATTTTAGTACTTTACTTTTACAATATTCTTTGATGTTATTGTTTTGAAAAGACTTCAAACTTTAAGAAAAAAAAAAGTTTGTTGACTTTGTCAAGTTGTTTAACTTTAGCCTTTAATAAATTTCAAATAAAAATATTTTTTCTTTATTAATAATTTTAACGAAAGTGTCATAGTTTTTTTTTTAAGTTTTTGAAAATCAGTTGATGATTTTGTTTGAAGTAATAACTTTAAGCAAAAACTTTTTCAAATAAAAAAGTTTGTTATAAATGATAAATTTATTCCTACGTAACTTAATTCTTAAATCAATAAAAATCAAATTAACAAGAATTTTTTAGATTCCTTAATTTTTCTATAAAATTTTATGTCAAGTACATATTTATTGCTATTTTATGTTTATATAAAGTTATAGTAATAATAAATGTCATTGTCATGAGCATGAATATCAGTAAAATCATAATGATAGCTTTACTAAACATTGTTTTGTTTTATTTAGATTTGTCAAGAATGTCTGCTGAACTAAAACAATATTATCTTAAATATTATGGGAAAATTAGTGAACTTCAACCACTATTAAAAGCACCTGCAAATGTTGATCTAATGAATAAATTTGTTGATCTATGTATTGTTGATGCAGCGAAGCCACAAATGGATGCTGTTTTTAGTGTTGAACGAAAAGAATTTCTTGAAAAGCAAATGCATTATACACCAATTCCATATAGTGAACTATTTATGAACGAAAAATCGGTAATATTAGTATCTGGAATTGCTGGTATTGGGAAAACATGGTTGCTTAGAAAATGTTTGCTTGATTGGTCAAATGATTTAATTTGGAAAAATGTTGAACTTGTTTTTTATTTAGAATGCAGGAGGATTAATCAATATGAAAATATTTTTAGTATAAATGATTTACTAAGCGTTTTCTACAAAGATATTATAAGTAACTTAAATATTAGTATTACCACTGCACTGTTTCTAATTGATGGGTTAGATGAGTTTAAATATTTCAATGAGTTATCAAATCCAAATTTAAAATGTAAATATCCAATTGTTAATGTTTTAGCAGAAATTCAAAACTATAAACATTTAGTTGCTGGTAGAGTTTATGCAATTGATCAATACCAAAGTATTTATAAAGATCATAGTGATATGTTAACCATTCAAATAATGGGGTTTAACAAAAATGGAATAGCGAATTATGTAGAAAATCATGTTAAGGAAGAAAAAAAAGGTATTGTAAATGCAACTTTAAAGGAATCTCCAATTGCAAAAGCTATGGCATCTGTTCCTTTTTATTTATCTTCTATGTGTAAAATTATCAGTGATTCAAAAGAAATAAGTACAATATCTTTCTTAACAATGACAGATTTGTATGCAAACATTTTTTTATACTTTTTACAAAAACACATCATTAAAAACAATGAAATGATTTATCAGATAATGGGAAACGATTCTAATAAAACATATATTTTAAATATTTGTAAAATTGCATATGAATTGTTTCTTGTAAATAAAATAATTTTTTCAAAAGAAGAACTTCAAACTTTTATTGGTGACTTTGATAAAAATGAATATTTTTTTGGATTTATAGAAAGGATTGAAACGAATCTAGGATGTTATTATCAATTTGCACATTTGACAATAATGGAATTTTGTGCATCTGTATATGCTTATAATTGTTTAAGTAGTGATGAAATTATGACCAATGAAAAGCTGAAGAGTTGTTTATCAATGATTTGTGGATTATCTAATGCTAGTCAAAATAGTTTATTAAAGTTTCTTGTTAATCTGAATCCTTCAAAAAGTCCCTATAAAAAGTTTATTCAATTTATAATGAATCTATTCAAGAATCCTTCAATAAAGGCCAATGAAAAATCTATCTTTTTGTATTCTATTTTGGGTAAGTTCAAAATCCTGGTGGCATTATAGTGAGTTATTTTCAATAACCATACAGGTGTTCAATAAAGTATAAAATATATAGTTATTTTTACTTTATTTTTGATAAAATAAAAAAAAAAATTTAATTTAATAAAATCTTTTTTAATAAACATTAATAAAGAATTGTTTATTTAAATTTTAAAGTTTTTTTTCAGTTTTATAATTTTATCATTTGACTTGATTTATAAAAAACAAAACAAATGATTTATATCTTTTGTTTTCTAAATGATGTACTTTGCATTTTTATATTTGGTATGTTTAACAACGTTTGGCAAGTTTTTAAAAAAAATATAAATATTTTTTATTAAGTTGTAGTGTATTAAATTATTGTCCTGATGGGATACCCTGAGAAATGTCCTTTTGGGATAACACATTGATATACTGCATCAAAAAGATACCCTGGTGTACACAAAGTGTCCAGTGTTATATAAGAATACAATTATACGACAGTTATATATATATATATATATATATATATATATATATATATATATATATATATATATATATATATATATATATATATATATATATGTATATATATATATATATATATATATATATATATATATATATATATATATATATATATATATATATACTGCATCAAAAAGATACCCTGGTGTACACACAGTGTCCAGTGTTATATAAGAATACAATTATACGACAGTTTTATATATATATATATATATATATATAAAAGTATATATATATATATATATATATATATATATATATATATATATATATATATATATATATATATATATATATAAAAGTATATATATCAGTCTTGATCGAAGTAAATATATTTATATATGACCGTTGTTTGATTTATAAATGCTGAAGGTTGCAATGTGGTTATAGTCATTTTTAGGTTTTTTCTTAGGTGTTTTGAGCTAAATATTTTCTTATTTTGAGTTGATTGACAAATATCTCTAAGGAAACGAAACCTAATTTTAAAAAGTATAAATTGTTTGTGCAAGTCTCTTTATATATGTTAGGGCTGTTCATATTTTACAAAATTTTTTTTTAGAATAATGATTTCAACCTAAATAAATGTGTTAGGATGAGTGATTTCAAAATAAAATTTTGATTTAAAAAAAAAAAAAAATTCCACCTTGCTACTGCTTTATTTATAAATGCAGAAGGTGATGTAGTTTAAGTCATTTCTAGGTTAAATTTTTTACAGGTATTTTGAGCTATATTTTTTTAAATTTAGAGTTTATCGAAAGATTTTACATCAGGTAACAAAACTTAATTTAAAAATGCATAAATTTTTTGCACAATTCTTGATATAGAGGTGTTCATGTTTTACAATATGTTTCATTTAAAATATGTATGAAAGCTCAAAAGATGTATAATCATGAGTGATTTCAAAAAAATATATATTTATTTCAAAATATATTTTTTCTCCTTGGTTACACCCAACCAATACTTTACGAAATTTATAACTTTTCACAAGATTTCATTTTTCTTGAGATTTGAAGTAAAACGAAACGTTAAAGTATACAAATAATAAAATCACAAAGTATCATTATAATTTCAGCAACGCGAGGAAATAAGCAGAAGACCAGATGGTTTTACATACATTAAAAAATAAATTTACTAAGTATGATTTGTGTATTTTACATTCAGAAACATACAGAAGATCACATCAAAATACATAAATTTACTTAAGACGGTTTTTGCTTTTTACTGAAAGTGTTAAATTATTTTTTTTAATGTATTTAATGCAATTTTTTAAATGAAGACATGTGAAAGGTTTTTTACAGTCTAAAAGTTCTAAAATGCAAATAAGAGAAGAGTAATTGCTTGTACATAGGAATTCTTTTAAAGAAACATTGCAAAATATATTAACAGATATCTTAAGCTGAAGAAGAATATTTTCTCCAAAACCAAGTACAGAGTCTAATTCAGAAAATGACAGGCGTCTAATTCAGAAAATAACAGGCACTGTTCAATATGGAATTTTGACAGGCAGAAATTGACTATTGCCGTCAACAAAAAAAATTATTGCAGAGACTGAGATTAGCTATAGGCATGAATATAACAGCCATAAAATATCAGTTACACTGATTAAGCTTGTCACCACAGCTGGAGGTGATCTCTTTCTTATACTTAAGCTTTTCGAATGAAAAATAACATCAACAAACATGCTGACAATATTAAAGTTCTAATTAAATTCAAGATCAAACAAAATAAGATAAAAATTTAGATATACTTTGATCGAAAGTTAATCAAGTTAATTGCATATATTTATTTATAATTAATATATTAAATAATTACAATGAAAAGACATTTTCCTTACATTATTAATCAAATCTAAATTCCAGGACATGTTGTAAATAAATGTTTATGTGGCAGTTGCTAGGATTTGCATTCTTGTGAGAGCTGGAGGAACTACTCATCTTCTTGGTGCTCCAAGGGTTCTCCCTGGTACAGGACTAAATTGGTTTAGGCTATCAAGGAGATTTTGACCAATTTTGGTATTACTAATTATGTTAGGAGTTTTCTTTGACACTACTGCTAGCCATACTGGAATGATTCGTGGCGCTATATAAAGATAAATATTTTTTTAATAATTTAAAAGAAGAACTCTGTGAGTTAATTACAACAAACTATTTCAGTAATGATTTCAGTTTTATTAGATTAAGTTTTAGAAATAATCTTGGAACATTATGGGTCAGCAGATACCATTGGACCTAGCGATGTAAATTTTAAAGGCTTGAAAGAGAAGTGGAATGATCTTGATGTTAATGATGACACAGTCAGCAATCATACCAATTCGCAACAGATTTGTCAGTCTTAGTTTAAAAAACAAGCAGATGAGGCAAGAAAACTTTTAATGACACTTGTTAATGAAGCAGTTTTCAAATATTTTCAGATTTATATTTCTAGCCATTAAAATGTTAAAGTTTTAATGTAATTAATGTGAAATATTTATTAATAAAAACAAGTACCAATATTACCAGGAACAAGAGACTACCAGGAACTTAATGAGCTAGCTCTCATTTTTTTGGAACGAACATTCAAGCTTCTCAACATTCACAAGCCTGGGGCAGTAAACCATGCATGTTTAATGGCAATGAATGTTTACTGATATGAAGAGTTCTGAAAATCATGCTTCTTTATAATTTGACCAAGCAAATCCTGAACTTGAAACAAAAGGAAGATAAAGGATGTGGAAAAGACTTTAACTTATATATTAATTTTCTATTCTCCTAAATTTCTCAGCTGAGAAATTAGATACAGCTGCAATCCAGGTTAGTTTTTGTAAGCTTTGATTTCATAATGTCATAAATAAACCCATTATTAGCATTTTTACTTGATAAGATAAGTTTAAAAAAGTCATGTCTTTATATTCTTGACATACATTGTTGTAGCTTAGACTTGGCCAATCATGTGATTGGGGCTATAGAGACAGAAATTGAGGCTTTTAACGAAGCAGAAACTTAATTCTATATTTTAAGCTAATAATTTTTATAAATAACGTCTTGATTTATTAGCTTAAATAACGAGGACAGTGTGCAATGAAAAAAAAAAATTTAAGCATGATCTAGACAAATAAATTAACAAAACTTTGGTTAAGTGTTGTTATATATATATATATATATATATATATATATATATATGTATATATATATATATATATATATATATATATATATATATATATATATATATATATATATATATATAAACAAAAATAAGTTTTTCTTAAACAAAGTATGTTTTTTTTTGCCATAAATAAAATATTATAAAAAAAGACTGCAGCGTCTTTTTCAATGTTTTGTTTTTGAAATAATCTATATAAGCATTTAATAAAAATTTTGAAATCACTTTCATATGGTTTTTAATAAAAAGTTTATTTTCTTTATTTGCTTAAAATTCCTTTTAAAACGTCTTCAACAAGTAAGTTAAATTTTCTTCACTCTCATACAAAGTAAAAAAATATTACGATGTACCTACCCTATAAAAGCTCTTAAGAATCAAAAGTTATTTCAAATTAGGAATTACTATAATTACATTTAGAAAGAAATATTTAGAAACTTTATTTTTTCACGTGATGATCTAATTGTTTTTTCTAAAAAAAAGAAAAAGTACGGTGCAAGATCTTATATGGGGTGTGTAGGACAGTTATGCAAAACTTAAAAAACTTTCCCTCATGTATTATCAACGCAAGAGTATAATTTGAGATTAATGCATGTTAAGTGTGTGTCAGTGGAGATAATATATTTTTTGCATCCTAAATAGGTTTCTGTCATGTATGGGGGAGATTGTAACATGTTTTCGCGGGGTTTTTTTATACTTCATTAAAATGAATATTAAAATTCTCTTTAAAAATGCTACTAGTAAACTTCTGATTAAAAAATAATAATTTGATGGAAAACTTAAAAAAAGTTTAGATGTTAAATTCAATTTTAACGCATTTTAACACATGTCAATCTACCCGAAAGAATGGTTTAAAATATTTTTATTTAAAAATAATTCTAAAGACTGGTTTAAAAATAAAATACTAAACTTTATTCAACTCTACCAATTTTATAAAACAGTAACTCTTACTTTCAAATTAATTTTCAAAAATATCTTTTTAATAAGAAATTTTTTTGATATTAAGTTTTTTTATTTTTTAAAAAAACTTAATATCAAAATTCGTTTTTATTAATTTTAAACAAACGCCAACGTTTGCATAAGCAAAATTAAAGAAAAGTGACGTTCGTTTTTCTTTCTGTTTTTTTTTTTAACAAACGTTTGCATGTTTACAAGAACATACACTTTAACAAGTGTCGTTTATTGCAGCATGAAAAAATTCTTTAGACGAACGTTGTTTACTGCATATGAAAACAGTTATATATTATCTTTTTGTAATAGAATGCAGGCATTTTAAGAATTATTACAACAAATAAAAATTCTACAATAAAAGTGAATAATATATCAAAGTAATTGATATATAAAATA